CGCATAGTTAGGCGTGTTATAAATGGTCTTGTTAGTCTTCGAGAGCAATTTATAACATGGCCAACAGAAGATGAGACAATTCAATCTATTGCAGCATTTCAGCGGCAAAGAGGGTTCCCAAATGTTATTGGAGCAATAGATGGAACCTATGTTGTAATAGATACTCCAAACGACAACCCTGAAGCATACATTAATAGAAAGGACATTTATTCTATTCAGTTACAGGTACCATTTTATTTAATTTCTTGTACATATATGTGTATATAAAAAAATAAAAATACTGATTATAACGTGTAATCTATTAAAATTGCAGGTGGTTTGTAAGCATAACTTACAATTTATTCATTGTTTTGTCGGCTATCCTGGATCTGTACATGATCAAAAGGTTTTTCAACTCTCAAATATACAACGTTTTTTTAATGACCCTTTAAAATTTCCCAATAACAGTCATGTAATAGGAGATGCAGCTTACAAAATTCAACAGCACTTGTTAGTACCATTTAAACATAATAAACGATTAACGGAAAGGCAACGAAATTTTAACTATTGCTTATCTTCGACTCGAATGGCAGTAGAACGTTCAATTGGGCTCCTGAAAGGACGATTTAGGATATTGTTAGACAAACTTCATGTTAAACGAACTGACCTTATTCCCAATTATATAATGGCGTGTTGTGTATTGCACAATTTATTTACCAATTGCCTCACCTGGGAAGGATACAGAATTCCATTCAAGACAGCTGAGAGCATCGTAGTACCTGCAAGATCCATTTCTTTCTTTTTCTATTTTTTTAAATTTTAATATTTAACCGTAAGAGTCTTACCACAGAATTCACGCACGATCACTGGCACCAAGTTCAATCATGAAACTCTCTGCAGTTGGAGCATCGTCGGCGTTCGAGATTGCTGCAGTCGATAGGAATTGCAGGGGCAGATGCAGTTCTCTCGGGGTCGTCTGCGTTGATGGCCAAAGTCGGGTACATGGGGTCGACGGATGGGTCATCGGGAGCACTCTGGCAACAGGACGCTCCATGGGAATGTTGACCTGAGATTTCTCCTTGGGATCGCTCGTCTCAGAAATGGCTCCATCGGCAGGCTCAGGCGATCGAGGTGGGTTGGGTTTCCCCAGGAGTAGCAGAAGGTTAGTGATAGATGCGAGAACTGCTCCTAACAGATGCAGGCTCCATCCGTATACAGAGTGTAGCGTATAGCCATGTATGGCAGTATCTACAATTAATTTAAGAGTTCTGAGCACCATATATATTCCAATGACGCCTACGCTGGCAGTTCCGAAGGTTACGAAACAGTCCCACAGTCTTTCGCCAGCTGTGGTTGTGATTTTATTTAATGTTTCTTCGTCCAGGAATCCTGTCAGTGAGATCCCAGATGGAGGGACGCGGTGTCCGGTGGCGGTCCTAGCGAACATATTGAGGAGGGCAAGGGTTTCGACCGGGAACATGATATGATCACGTAGCCGGGAGATGTCTTCCTGGGAGTAAATTCCGCTATCGGCCAAATACTCGGCGTCCACATACTTCCATTCTGGTCTGGTCATGGGTTCTAACATCTGTGGAATCATGGCTGCAGGTTTCGGCGTTAAGCTTATCCATCCTCCTTTTACTTTAAACATATTTGGAAGTAGCGGGTTACAGTCTACAGGAGTCCCGCTGCCAACTAAAATGTGAGTCTTAGGCGTTAAGATCGGAAGAGCACACG